CCCCTTCCTTCTGGTCCTCTCAGCAAGGCTGCACTGCCTTCCCAGGACGGCCATGACAAAGTGCCACCAATGGGCGGCTGAAAAACCAAACTCACCGTCTCAGCTCTGGCGGCTGACTCTGAAATTAAGGGGTTGGCAGGGCTGGTTCCTCCTGAGGGCTGTGAGGGAGGGATCCGCTCCAGGCCTCTGTCCTTGGCTTGTTGGTAGACACCTGTCTCCATGGCCTTCTTTCTCTCTGTTATTAATGCGTTAATGACAGTGTTAATGCTAACATTAGGATCGCCCCAACTCTGCAGGCTCTGTGCAGACTTTGCTCAGATCAGTCAGCAAACATTTAGGGGGTCCTTGCTTTGTCCCAGCCTTGCGCAAGGCAAGCAGGGATTCGAAAGGAAATCTCATATTTGTATCTCACTTCAGCTCACGGGCATTGCCCATTTCCTTCTCACGCCTGCCCAGGGCACAGATGTTTTGTTTGACAATCGAAAGAACTAAGGATAAGGGAAGTCAAGTAACTTGCCGGCAGTGAAGTAGGAATGTGGGTGCACATCTTCTGGTGTGTATCCCGTATTAATCACCATCGTCATCTTCAATAGTTATAATCTGAGCGTCTACCAGGCTGGATACTAAGCACTTCACATGCATTTTCTCCTGTTATTTCTCATACAACCTTGCAGGGTGGGGGGCTTATTAACCCCCATTTCATGAGGTGCAGAAACAACAGTTAAGATCAAGGTGGAGACCATCCCAGTTCTTTCCGCTCTTAAGTGTGGGAGCCCGATTTGAACTTGGCATTCTGGAGGCAGAGCCCACACTGTTAACCCTGCTCCTCACTTTTGGGGTGGCGCTTACCGGGTGGGAGGTAAGACAATGCAGGGTGGTTTCCCCACGAGTAATGGGGAGGGACGTGCTGTAGAAAAATCAGAGGAGACAAGGGGGTTCAGTGTGGGGTCACCAGGAGGGCTTGGTTGTGGATGAACCTTGCTTGGGAGGTAGGAAAGGGGTCCTGGGCATGTGTATCCATGGGGCAGGGAAGAGACTGGTCAGACCTGAGTGCCGAGACCAGGCAGGGAGCCAGGGAGGGAAGGCAGGAGGGGCCAGACGGCTGGAGCTGGGAACACAGCAACAGGGGACAGAGACGGTTCCCCCTCCCTGTGCCCTCCTCGCCCTCCTGGAGGCAGCAGCCGGGTGCTGGAAGCAGGCCCTGCTGCGCTGACTGCAGGGCCTTTATTTGGTCGTTTGTCGCAGGTGTGCGGCCCGGGGAGGACTGTGGAGTCAGCACCGGGCACAGGACGCACAGGACGCGGAAGGGGCGAGGCCCTCCTTTCCGGCTTCCTCCCTCTGCCTTTTCCCTTCCAGCTGAGGCCCAGCCCAGGTCACTCGAATACAAAAGAGCATGAACAGTTCTTATTTCCCACAGCAGCCAAGTCACTTCCTTGAACCCAACAAAAGTAATTAGCTTCAGCAATCACAGGTCTGCATCGCTTTCTAACAGTCGGGCCAGGAGGGTCCCAGAGGTCTCCTAGCACAGCCCTCATCCAGGAGCAGATTGCTGGCTGGCTTTAGGTCTGTTTGCACACCTCTGGTGGGGATGAGTTCACTTATCCTTAAGGCAGTCCTGGTGGCCTGGGCTCCTCCAGCTCGGGGCCCCCCACAACCTCAGCTATCCGTGTGGCTTTAAGATTTAACCTCTTGCAAGTAGCAAATAAGCTTCACATGCACTTATTTTATTTAGCAAAGGCCTGGTGTGTGTTCTTTTCAACAGGAGTTTTCATTAGTAGGAATCAGTTAGTCCGCACATGAGGAATACCAGGTATTAGGGGCGCCACCTTATTAGTTTCCTGGGGCGTTGGCCCCATCTCTTTGGCCCCGAATGGATAAGTAGAGGCCTAAATGTGAAGAGCTTGTATGCAATTGAACTAAATAGTTCTATAGCCTGGGAGATGATATTGAAGGATTCTGAGCTGGGATAAACACCACCAGATGTGTGTTTTAGGACAAAAAAAGTTTCTGAGAGCAGTTTGGAGATTATATGGGGGACATTCAGACTAGAGGGAAGGTGATTAGTAGAAGGTTACTGCAATGACTGAAGTGAGGGGCAGGGTCTGAACTCATGCAGGGGTCCGGGACAGAGAGTGAGCAGCTGGTAGAGAACTCGACGGCCAAGGGGTGCTGGGCTGGGAGCAAGGTAGTTGCCCTGGTGTGGCCTTGGTGCTGGCGTCACTTACCATGGAAGACTCTCAGGGAGAAAGGGCCGTCCAGCTAGAAGCCACCAGGGAGCCACTCTGGCCACTGCCTTGTTTCCTACGGGGCTCATAGCTGTTGAGGCTTCAATCTTTCTTCTCTTTTTGGTCAGGACTCCAAGAGCTAGTGTCTAATGCAGGGATTTTTCTCCAAATGTGATCATTTCCACTCAAGTTCTAACAACTTGGGAACCTCCACTCGTCTGTGAGCAGGCCAGGGGCTTCAGGAGAGGAGGGCTCAATACCACCTCCCAGGTGGCACCTCAGGCTCCTGGCTCCACGCTGGGACCGCCGAGGGTCTTCCTGAGAGAAGGAAAGCCCAGTGGGCACTGCCTGCCCCCACCCCCACTTCCCTGTGGAAAGCGGGGGGGTGTTAGCCATGGGGGTTCACAATAGGGGTGCTTGTTGATCTCTTCGTAGGTGGCCCGCTGAGAAGCTCTGCACCACGGTGTGCTTTTAGCAGAAAGCAGGTGGTGAGGTGGTGTGGGCAGGCGGGGAGGGCGAAGAGCTGCTTCCCTCCCCCTGCCCTGGCTTCTCCCCGGAGTGTGAGGCCGCTCAAGGGAGACGGACAAGTTCCATCACCTGTCACCTGCAGGCTCAGGAGGTGGCTGCACGTGCCATGGTGAGGAGTGACGTGACCGTGTGGCAGAAGTGCCCCGAAAGCCAACCACAGGGACCCAAACTCAACCCCTGGGGGCACCCCCAGATGGAGGGAAGGAAAGCACAATTCAGAGTCCAGCAAGCCCGAGGAGTAGGCAGGCGAACCCCAAGTCCCAGGAGAGAAACACAGTCGAGAGCTGCGACTTGAGCAGCTCCGCGTGCGGCTGGAGCAGGGGCCTCAGCTTGTGCCCGCAGCAGCCCAGTGAACGGGGAGCCTGCCCTGCTCATCAGGTGCACCTCGTGTGGGGGGCCGAGAGTGGCTGCTTCTCCATCAAGGAGGAGACTCGTGCTCTCGGTCCCTGGGATATGATCTGTGGTTCATGCAGCGGGGCCAGGACCAGAAGGTGCATTCCGGGGTTGGCAAATTCAAACAAGAACAAGCTTCCGAGTTGGCAGGAGCCGTCATCTTTCCAGGACAGGGGATCCCAGTGAAGACAATCCCCAAGTGTCCTGAGCAATGGGCACTTCCCTTTCTTCCCGTTCCCTTCTGACGAGGAGCCTGGCTGCCTCCTGCGCTCCTGGCCTGCGTCGCTCCAGGTTCCAGGCCTGCGCGTCGCGGGGAGCGATCATGGGAGCAGGAAGAAGCCGCAAAGCTCAGCGGCCTCCTTGCTTTCACGTGCCTCAGAGGCGCTGCCCCCATGCTCTCTACCCTTTCCCTTGTTTCACAGACGTTCCAGTTCCTGGTGACGACCGTCCCAAGAAACTCGCCTTCTGGTCTTCCCTACCCTTTCCCTTTGCACGATGTGGCCAGCAGGCGGTCTCCCGCATCAGGGACCTGCGAAGGCAGCACAGCTGCCCACACACAGGCTGCGGGAAAAAGCCGTTTATCAAGAAAAGTGTCCTGGGCCCAGGCGGCACGGCTCAGCGGTTGAGCATCGACCTATGAGCCAGGAGATCACGGTTCGATTCCGGGTCAGGGCACATGCCTGGGGTTTCGGGCTCGATCCCCAGTTGGGGGCGTGCAGGAGGCAGCTGATCAATGACTCTCATCATTGATGTTTCTCTCTCTCTCTCTCCTTCTCCCTCTCTCTAAAATCAATAAGGACACACACAAAAAAAAAAGTGTCCTGGGAGACTGCATTTACCTGTCACCTTAGGCTAAATTCTACCAAGGTACCACCCCCCTTTAANGGACACACACACAAAAAAAAGTGTCCTGGGAGACTGCATTTACCTGTCACCTTAGGCTAAATNAAAATCAATAAGGACACACACAAAAAAAAAAGTGTCCTGGGAGACTGCATTTACCTGTCACCTTAGGCTAAATTCTACCAAGGTACCACCCCCCTTTAACCCTCCCCCGCCACCCAATCTCAGTGGCTTCTGGTGATGATGTTTTCTTTCTCACTCAGGTCACACGTCCTTCACCAGCCGGGGAGCAGGTGGATGGAGCCACCCTACCTGGCGCACTGCAGGGCTCAGCAGGAGACTGGCAGGCACAGGCTGCCATGTAAGGCTCCGGTTTACAGGCCACACAGTCACTTCTTCCCTTTGTTCTTGGGACAGAGCAAGACCCTTGGCCACTGTGGGTTCAACATGGTGAGACACCCAACCCTGTGCAGGGAGGAGCCACCACGTGCCGAAGGCCAAGCCTGACATCAGGGGCCAGGACGTGCCATCCTTCCGCAGAGGGGAGAGAGGATTGGGAAGGACAGTCAACCATGGCGCATACAACACCGAGACTTCCCATTTCCCCAGAGCATCATAGGGCCCCTCTGCTGTGTCGCCCCGCCCATAGCTCTTGTGTCAGGGGCGCTATTAGGCGCAGGCCATCCCCACCAGGGCTTAGAGCTCCCCTTGGTACTTGGTCCTACCCCAGTGGGGCCAGGCGATGACAGAACATGAGGAAACTGTGAGAGTTCCAGCATAGGGCGCTCAGCTTCTGCAGTAACTCAGCGGCGGCACACGCGATTTAGGCGTCTGTGGGCTGCCTGAGGCCCACTTCACCTCTGGCTCTCTCAGCGAGCGATTTCTGAGGCCCACCTGCTGCATGTAATATGTCGCCAGGACGCGGGCCCTGCAGCCCACACGCATCACCGACACAGCAAGAAGCTACGAGGCACGAAGAGTATCTTTAACATAATCTTATATTTGGAAAAGCAGTTTAAAAAAAACACTTGAAAATACAAGGTCAGGTAACAGTGACTTATATGAGTTTTCACCTTATATTGCTTGGCCATTTTTACATATAAATTATTGCTCACTAGCTTCGATAGATAAATACACAGCACAGTCGTATGTACAGAAGCGGAAAGCGTGAAATCTGAGAAAGGAAATACTGTTCATGGCAATTCTGGTAACTCAACCAATGTTTCATATTTACCAGCTCGTGAGATGGTGGAAAAGTACGGGTGTAGTCCCTGAGAAGTTAGGTAGGCACCCTGAAGGCGGGCTCTCTATCTGCTAATGGTTAACGCAAGCCGACGACGTCACCGTCACCGCAGTCCTGATTAACGACGCGTTGAAGGGCAGGGGTCCTCGCTTCAGCTCGCTGATTTCATCCCAGTATTTAATAAGTGTGATACGAATACAATAAATAGGCTATGCAAATAAATAGTACTCTGCTAAAAAACGTTTAGTATATACAGCTTTGCTTTTTACAGTAGTACATTTTCATCTAGTTTTTTGGCAATTTTTAAAAACTCCGCCTCTCCCCCCCCCACCACTAGTTTTCAGCACAGTGGCCCGCTCGTTAATAAGCAGGCTGAAATTTTAAGGACATGTTTGAAGCGTTGAAAAGAAACTCTGTGTTAGACAAGTGCAGTGCACCGGACCGTCCCCATCGTAATGTTTTTGCTTAGTTTCTGAGAAGCTTGGGCTAGTTGTGCCATTTGGGAACACCACGTTTGTGACTTGTGGCTGTAACAAGGTGGCCGGGCTGGGACTGAGGCAGCAGGGCAAGCCCAGCTCTGGGGACCCCAAGTCACCGGCACCCTCTCTCTTTCCTGCAGCCGCTTCTCCCACTCGGAGGTGGGTGGGTAAGCCTCATAGTGCAACGTCTCCTCCTGCCAGCTGGGAGCGGTGGGGTTTTCCTTTATCTTCCTGCTTCTGAGGTCAGTGAACGCTCCACCTGACCTGCCTCTGGATGGGGATCTGGGTGAATGAGTTTATTCTAAGCATAATTAGTGATACTAGACTGAAGTGAATGCAGGCTATAATATTTATCATGACAACCATTTGGCAAGTGTGCAGATTATAACAAAGAGTGGATCTGAAACACTGTGGTCTTTGGAGCATCTGTAAGTATGTATGTCAAGAAAATAAATTCGGGAAGGTTGCGATATTACCTAAGGAACTTGTCTGGTGCTAACTTCTGAGCAGGACTGGTTTGCTGGGATTCAGACGAATCCAGGCCCCCAGGACTGTTGAGAGCTGTGCTGCAGCAAAGAGAATCACTCAGAAGGGCCCATGCACTGCTTGCCGGTGATGGTGGGCAGATGAAGATTTTCAGCGTGAATGGAGATTTTATGTGATCATAAAAATCTAAAAGAGCTGGAAAGCAGCTTAGAAGTCTTCCAGTCCACCCGTCTGGCCAGAACAAAAGCTATTCCAAAGAGGCCGAGGCAAATATTCAGAGAGGGAACACGGCCCATCCCTATTAACAGGGAGCTGCTAAATCCCTCGTTGGCCGCTCGTTGCTGGACAGCTCAGAGTTTTAGCAAGAGCTTCATGTTGAGCTAACCCTGGCTCCAATTCCGCCTTGAATTCTTTAATTCTAGATTAATGTCTCCTCAGAGCTTCTGAAATTTCTGAGAGCTGCTGCCTGGGACATCTCTGGAGACACTTAAATTTCAGAAAGATGTGGACATTCAGAAGCTGGGGATGGAAAAGCAAATCTAAACTAAATGAAATCCTCCCTTCCCTTGGCTGCCCTGAGAGCCACTGACCATGGCTGGAGGAAATGGTGCACAGTACCATGCTCTCCCCAGCCTGTGTCCACCCAGGCGTGAGGCACGTCCTGCCTACAGCATCGAGATGTGTTTAAACTTGATGCATGTGTAGATTTGTTCGACTGTTTACATATCTGAATTGCAGTCTAAATTGCTGGGATTGCAGATATCTGAATTGCAGTCTAAGCAACAGGTACTGACACACTTCTCTCCTAGAGCAACTGAAATAGTTTTAGTTGGAGCGATGTAAATCTTACGTGAATAAAATTTAAATTGCAAAACATGGAGACAATGTCAAAATGGCCTTAGATGATTTGACTGGGCAAATGCTACTCCTCAAGCACAGAGAACAGACAAGAACGCCTGTGTGTGCTGTAGGCCTGTGCTCTCTGCAGTAACTGCCAAGAGGAGAGTTTTCCCACTGCTTGGTCAGCCATGAGAAAAGTCTGCCTTCCCTGGTTCCAGCCTCTGGTCTCCTCCAGTGGGTCTCATCCCATTCCCTGCAGCCGGGAGCATTACTCTAAGTGGACCAGCCCTGGATGTGCCTTTTGAGAAAACCCTGTTAATTTTCAGGATTGAATTTTACGTGCTGGGACAGACTGAATCTCTTTGAAAGTTCTTTGAAAGCTCTGTGGCTCCTTCCGGTGACTTCTCAAGCTCAGCGTGGCTCCTGAGCCCAGGAAACAGCACTGCTATGAAGGTGTCGGGAAGCATTGGACGCAGCTCAGGAAGGAGGTGCTGAAGAGACAGAAGGAAGCGGTTCTGCAGAGGCACCTGAGAGATGAGCAGGAGGCCGTGTGGAGCGGTGCACTGGGGTTCACAGGTGTGGAATGTGAGTGGACCTGACACAGGAAGCCGGGCCCTTGCATTTTAGCAACATGACAAATGTCCAGCTGGCTGTGGTGGATTTCATGACTGTATCCCACAGACGTTTTTGAAAGCAGAGGGAACTTTAATCAGTTCTTGAGAATAGCAAGTGTCTAATTTACTGGAGAAGCCCCAATCTATAAAAATAGGCATAAAAAAGACTCTGGGGGGGAAAAAAAGACAAACTATAGGAAGGCAGGCTGCTGTCTTGGTTGGAAGGTGAACTACAGGACTTGTGAGTGTCCAGCATAGATCAGACGTTTGGATATTTCAGGGCTCTTTTCATTTGCTGGGAGACGGGCAACCACCACCATCTTCAGACCTTGATATTCTCTAGGGAGGGATGCCTTGCACATCCCATCCCTCTTACCCTCCCTGGACAGGTTGTGACCCCTGCACGCTGTGGGCAAGGAGCCTGGGAGGAGTGCAGAGCACTGGGGCACATCAGGCACAAGAGTGCAACCTCTGTGACTCTCGGTCACCTTGGTAAACAGTTACAGAGCGCCCACCACGTGTCAGGCACTGTGCTCTTTCAAAAATCATATTGTTCCCAATAGGAGATGAGAGCCTGCCTGCACATGTCAAGAAAATCCCCAGAAACTGAACAGCGAGTCAATTTCCCAAAGATTCCCATTTTGCCTTATTGGCAAAGCAACTTAGCCTAATTCCTAACTGCCCATAGTTGCAGATCAGTTGTGCAGAAACAAATTTCACCGGCCAGCAGACATCCCTAAGTGATTGTGGGCGCAAAGAAACGCGCGCCCTGACATTTTTCCCTTTAGGAACTGAGAGCATGGATGCCAGCTGCTGGTCCTCACTTACTCCTCAGACACAAGTGGCCTCTGCTGATGTCATCGTTTGTATCGACAGAGACCACGCCGTCTCCCTGGAAATCCAGAGATGCCATTGCTGTCTTCTGGTGTTCAAACAAGCCACTTCTCTGACAGCCTATAAACAATAATCTGCTCCCAGGCAAAGTAAAACTGTTTCCTGTTTCATGCGCACTCTTACTGAAATATTTGGTCACTGTAACACGACAGGCTCCCTTGTCTTGATGCTGGCACATCTCAAATTGAAAACTGGATGGGATCAACAGCGTCGGCATAAGAAACCAGACTCCTCCATTTGAAGATGCTCTGAGTCCTCTGTCCTCTCCTTCTGAGCGCAGCGAGGAGAGGCCGGGCCCCTCCCCGTCTCGGGTGGCTGGCGTCACTTCCTGAGCACGCTTCGGTTGGCTTTCCTGTGTATGTCTTGTGAGTTACTGATAAAACTCAGCAACTTCTTTTCTCGCAGGAAAGGGACGTGCTTGGCATTGACATTCCCGCAGCTCGAAGTGCCGCAGTTACTGGGGGGAGGGGAGGAGGCCGGCGCGGGCTCACGCCCGGGGCTCGATCCTGTGGGAGAGCTCAAACAGGGCCTGCTGGCTGTCAATGACGTACAGGTGGTTGACGTAGGACTTTAACTCCTGGTGCTCTTTTGGAGACATGTCTCCTCCTAATTTTTAGAGGAAAAAAAGACAGTCATTCTCATGATGGCGGCGATGCTATTGCTAAATACCAGTAAAACCCCACATTAAGGCTTAGCGTAAACCTACCAGGCAGACTCTCATTAGTCAGAATCACAGAAGAGGGATCTTCATGCTAACAGTGCAGTTACTTTTTCAGCTCAGACTAGGATCCTCAGGTCAGGTAATTAGACGAGCATGGTATTTGTTTTACCCACATTTATATAATGTTTATTGCCCAACATTACATGGTATTCAGTGACTGGGTTATCATCCCCTTAGAATGGAAACGGCATGGACACCAGTAAGTGGCAGCCGGGACTGGAACCCAACCAGGTGGCTCCCAGGTCTCTGGTGTAAGGTCCTGTGTCACAAGAACTGCCGTTTCAATGGCTTTCACTGGCTCTTAACCTTGTTCTGGAGCTGTTGGAAATAACTGCTAACCAGGGGAGTGCACAGACACAGTAGTTCTTTTTGGTGTTCTTATTTTTGGGGGAAAAAATTAAGGGACCCATTGAATGAATGGATATCACAGCACTATAGGTACAGCTCACAGGCGAAACAGGTTCCAAAAAGATGTGGATGGGTTGCATCTACCCGGTGAACAGCGAGGCAAGGGGGTTTTCTGCTCCCCATTCCAGGGTGGTTAAAATATGGAAAGGCTGCAAGAGGCTCTAGTGTCCTGTGACCACACTTGAGACAACCTGGTGACAGCTCTGATAAGGAACCAGAGATAAGGCGCTCTGGACAATGGGGTAAGCCCACTTCCCACACTCAGAAAAAAAAACAAAACCCATCCACACCCAAAAATCCCCCAAGGCATCGGGAAACCGGCTAAACTGCCTGGTAAAGAGACAATGTGAATGTGAGTGGCGGTGAGGTCACATCCTTTGGCTTCGGCTTTGGGAACTCCGACTGCGGCTCAGCGTGAGCCAGAGGACTGGGCCTGAGGAGGCCGGGCATTGTAAGGCAGCCGTTTTTTCTCTATGACAATGCCTTTTGTAATTTCAGGCCTACATGTCATAGGTGGCTTAGAATTCTTCAGTTTCATAGAAACAAGACTCCCTGGTTTCAAAAAGTAAAAGCACCAGGCGTTGAAGTTTCTACCGTCCCACTTGTTTGAAAGAGACCAAAAGCTGTGTCGTTCCAGAATGCCGTTTTGGGAGACGCTGAGGGACTGCTCTCGGTTTAGTACGCACTGGCTAAGAAAACAGGATGTTTTCGAGATAATTTTGTTGTTAAATTTTTGGCCTTAAAAGAAGGGGATAGGATGGATGATTCCAGCCATGACAACTGGCACTTGAAGGCACTTGATAATTTATAAGGAGCAGGATAAATATCATCTTATTTTTATCCCAAAGGCTGACACTGGTTGACCATGCCCATGTAAACTGACAACATGAATTTAGGTTAATTCAGTCCTGTGCATGATTTTTAAAAGTATAGAAATGCGGAACACAAACGGGCCTCACAGTTACTTGAATTTCTTCTTTACCTTGTGCTGTGGAAACCTACTCTCCAGCGGTGGGAGGTTGGAGACGGGCAGAGGCCAGCAGAGCCTGCGGAGGCCAGCAGAGCCCGCAGAGCCTTCCTGCCCACCCTGCAGCACATGTAAACCAGAGCCCCTTCATGACGGAGCCTGAAGCCTCGAAATTAGCTGAGTAGCCATAAATATTGGGAAGCGAAGGAGGAAAAGAAATATGATCTCATCGGCGACATTATGCGTGCACATTTGAATGAATCTCCGTGACAATGTTATTACTGCTGTTTCTGTTGTAACAGCGTTGTACTTGTGTACTTAGTGGAGACTTATCTAAGCACATATCAAATGGTATGAACTGATTTATTTAGAAAATTAAGTCCTGTATTTATCATTCTCCCTCTCAAACAGAAACTTTGTAATTCGTACAGAAGTTCAGCTGCTTTGTTGGGGGACAGTACTGCCAGCCAAGGCCAGCCCGGACAGAAAAATAGATTCTTAAGAATGTGCACCCATCCTTAGGAAGTGTGACCTTTTTCTACCTTTGTATATATCCTATATTGTTAAAAAATTGTTTTACAGTGAGGATGAATTACTTAACAAAGTAAGTTTTACCTAGTGGCCACCTTTGATTGATTCACAGTGATTGCGTTCAACTTTCTGTTTTTTTTATTGCCCCGTATATCTACCAAATCTGCACAAGGCAGAGGGAAGGGCATGGACCAGGAAATCGGGCCGACTTGGTCTGAACAGTGGCTGCACGAGCTGACCTCCGAGCTTCCTCCGCTCTGCACCCACAAGATTAATAATCTCTATTCACCAGTCACAGATACTGGTGACAGGATCCCACTGCCCATGTGAAAGCTCCATGAACTCAATAAAGTTGATTTCCTTCCTTCCTGCAATGTTAAAACACGATCTAAACATGATGCAAATGACGACTGAGATTCAGAAAAGAACAAATATTCCTACTTACATTGGTCTCAGTGGGGAGTCTACAAAAGTGCTCAGAAAAATACCTTTTCAGTGAAAGGCAGCTCCAGACAGGAAATTTTTGTTGGAGGGGAGGAAAGACTCTGGAAGGCTGCATCGGGCACATTGACAAACTATATTCCTGTTCCAGGAAGGCTCCAAGCAAAGAGGTTAGGGGCAGGTCGCCCCTGATAAACCCACTAGCAATTCTGTGCCAATTTCGGGGGGGG